TGGCAGAGGGCAGCAATGTGATTTGAGAACGACAGATGGAAGGCTCACACTGCGACTGAAGGAAGCGGTGGCTCACTGCATCAGAAGGGAGAGCCCCGTCCACCGCCGAATGAGCAACATGATTCGAGATCTTCCTTTATGTGGAATCAGGGTTAGAGCTTCCTTTATGTGGAAATGATTGAACCTGATATAGCTTTTGAAGGCGTCTGATGACCATTGACTGAGCGCTTGTATCTGCTGCTGTGAGAGGCCTTTTTGATCTGCTGTGGTTGCTGCCCAGATGCGAAAGGAGTGGCTGGAAAATTTCTCTGCAGGTAAGTCTGATTGAGCAAGGATTAGTTTTAGGTGTTTTTGGAACCCTAAAACGGGGTGGTTAGAGTCGTTGACAAATAGAGGGTCGAGATGGGATTTAGATTGAGAGCTCCTGAATTGTAAGTAAGAAAAAAGAGGCTGATATGGCTGAACTGGAGAAGGGAACGTAGAAGATGTAGATGTAGTGACCTTTTCTTTCTTGGTCTGTCTTTGTTTAATAAAATAAGAGACAGTTTCGCTGTTGAGCACGGATATTTTATTTTGGGGGAGGGGGAGCCATAGATTAATTTGTGAAAAAATTGAATGTCGCTTAAATAACCTTTAATAGACCCAGCTTGGAGGTTCCTAAAGGAATTAAGGTAGGAAATTAATAAAGTGATTGAAAGGGGGGGAAAAATCAGGAAATGCCAGGTTATAGGAGAGGTGGAATGCTTTGAAACATCTCCAAGCTGTTAGATAAGAATGGATGGTTCTGGGTGAAGCTGCTTGGAGGATAGAATCGAGTGACGCATCGAGGAGGGGTTTTAAGGGATGGGTTACAGGAATATGAGTTGAGGAATAGAATAGTTGTTAGACAGAATCCAGCAAGTGGCCTCTGATAATGTGTCGAAAATTTTGGGGCTGCTTTTACATCTGAAGGTTTAACGTACTGAGAAATAAACCCTTCAGCGCCAGTGAATACCGAATAAATGCCATGAATCTGGGTGAATAGGCATCACTTTGAAGGCAGAAGTGATGTCTATTTTAGCCAGCCACGCACCATGACCTACGTTTTTGATCATGGTGATTGCTTGATCTATATTGTGGTAGTGCAGAGAATATTCCTCGAGGGGTATGAGGCTGTTTATGCTAGAAAATGGGGAATTACTCCGATAGGGCTGATGTGAAAAACTCGAAGGGGGGAGCGTCGAAGGGGCCAATCATGAAACCTGGCTCGACTTCTTTTTTGATTAGATTGTCTACAATCTGGGTAATCAAATGGTTCAGGTCATATTTAGAAGGGAGAGGTTATTATGTGAGTATAGGAGAGCATAAGTCTAAGTGGACGTCCATGACATGCAGAGTCCCACAAGGCTCAATTCTTGCACCGCTCTTGTTTAGCCTGTATATGCTCCCACTAAGTCAAATAATGAGAAAGAACCAAATTTCCTATCACAGCTATGCTGATGATACCCAGATTTACCTAGCCTATATCTATGGGGAAATGGGGAAAAAAAAGTCTATAGGGAAAAACCGAGCAAATTATCTCTGTGTAGCGGCCAAATGCTATGACAAATTCGGAGAATGAGAGTGTGCGCGATGAATTGGGCTTTGGGTTTTTTAGTGTTACGGAAAAATCCCCACAATCTATTTGCCGATGAGATTCGGCAGGAGGGAGAAGAGAAAGGAGAGATGAGAGATCAATGTCTGCACCTGTGAGAATCTGAGACCTGATGTTGTTGGCCAAGGGGGGTGGCTCCGATACAACGGCGTTCGGTGGGGCAGGTAGCGGGACTGCAGTGTATAAGGTAAACTGAGGTTTAGATTGAAGAGGAAAGTTGGAAGGAAGAGAAGGAGGGGCTGTAACCATTTGCAGAGGCAGTCTCACGCATGTATTAGCCCCGGGTGCTTGAAGTAAGTAGGAAGAGGTAGAAGGAATTGAGGGAGGGGGCAAATAGGCTTGCGTTGCTGGCTGGTGAGGCTCTACGCGGTCGTCTGCAGTGGTGGCTGCAGGTCATTGATAGGGAAAAGGAGCAGAGCTAACGGAAGGGTAATAGTAAGGTGGCTGGGCTTGAGTGGCTAGCGGAGGCAGCCTCATGCTAGGTTCTGTCTCCGGAGGTAGAGTGCAGGAAGTGGGAAGGATAGGAAGAGGTTGGAAGGTTATGTTAGTGGGCGATGTCACGTGCGGTGCGGTGGCTGAAGGAGCCATGGTGGACAGTTGAACAGAGGAGAGAGGCGGTAGAGTATCTGGAGCAGCAGAGTCTGGGCTGCGGCCCAGGCTTGCTGACGGCCTACTGCGTCTCAACGCTCTAGGAGAGCCGGAACTTGATCTGGAAGAAGATGAAGTAATAGAGATACGAGAACGTTTGGCCTTACGGGCTCTAGTTACCTTTTTGGAGGTGGGTGAATTTACTTTTTCCAGGGAGACATAAAGATCATAAAGTTCGGCTTTACTCATTTTTCGGGAGAACTTAACTTCTGAATTGGACAGCGCTTGTCTCAATATCGCAACGGTCCATTTTATGATTGGAGGGATGGATGGAGAAGCAGAGGCGTAGGGAGATGCTGGGGATTGCGATGGCTGTCGTTTTGGTGGTGTTGAACGGAGTCTTTGTGGATTAGGCATATGAACAGCTAGTTTTGTAGGCTGCCGCCCATGCGGAGGAGGAAACGCCTTTTGGCCAGTATTGGGACGGGGGTGCTTATGAGCCGGAGGCTTGTGGTGGAGCGTCCAGCTCGTTGTCGGACGGGAAGAGCTCAATCGCTGACATAGTGGCAGTCAGATAAGGCTGGATGCCAGAAAACTGTTGTGGGGCAGAGGTAATTTGGCTGAATATATATACGCATTAGGCTAGTTAAGATAATTAACGAAACGAGCTCCACCTGTGCTGAATTGATTGATTATCTGATCGTGCTCCTCCCAAACCTTGTTAATAAAACATCATGAATGTTTTCAACTGTTAATCATTTTCAAACATTCAACCCAGGCAGGGTTAACCTTACTTTTACTTTACTTTTACTTGTAGTCATTTAGCAGACACTTTTATCCAAAGCGACTTACAAATAAGAAAAAGTAATTAAAACTAAAAGCTAAAACTCTATAAATACTATATATATATTCACATTTAATATATGAGTATATATATTCAGTTAACCTTACAGTAAGACTCAACACTGATTACTGTCAGACTTTCAAAACCCTTCATCACTCGAATTAACATTATAATAATTTAATTTAAAAGCACAGCCACCACAAAATCATACTTTAGCATCTATTTTTACTTTGAGATCGTTCTGAGGTTAAATACAGATTTAAAATCATAACAAGAAATAGTAAATATTAATACAAGAATTCAGATGTAACCCCTTTTGTAATCGTTAACATTTTCATAAGTAACTGTAATTTAATTACACATTTTTCTCAGTAACTGTAACGGATTACAGATACATTTATTTTGTAATTAAATTACATAACGCTGTTACCTGTAACTAGTTACTCCGGAACACAGTATATAGAGCGCTCTAGCCAGTATCAGTAATCAGAGCAGCTCTTTGAATGCTTTGGAGGCCGCTCTAAAGGGCTGCCAGTTATGAAGCAGAGACTAACCCGCTGGATAATAGACACCATAGCACTGGCTTATGCCTCAGTGGGCTCACAGAACCCCATTGAAGTGAGGGCCCACTCCAGCAGGGGAATGGCCTCCTCCTGGGCTTGGTCCAGCAGAGTTTCCATTGAAGATATCTGTGCGGCAGCTGCCTGGTCTTCGTCGTCTACCTTTGCTAGGTTTTATAACCTGGACATCCCTGCCCTGTAGGCGCGGATCTCGTCCACTCAATCAACCTGTACCCATCCTAGTAGTCGGGTCTATTTTTGTCTGAGGATTCCGACCTTTTGGCCAGGGCCTAGCTGATTCTGGGCTGGTTGTGCCCTTATTGGCCCATGTTACCCCTAGGGCCCTCATCTCATGAGGCAGGGTTGTTCCTAGAGAACCAATTTCCCCCTCGGGCCGTTTTCCTGGTTGCATTCACACCTGCAGCAGGAACTCTGAAGCGGCCGACAGCGACGTCTTTATGCGCTGCATTTACAAACGTTAACAACCGGTGAATGGAGGATGCCGTGACCGGAGCTGTTTTTGTTGTGTGTTTCGTGATAATGGAGATGGAATGTGAACGCACAATTTACGCGACTGAAAGAGCATGAAAATCTGACTAAATCTACTATGACACCTAGCAGTGTTACATATCATCAAGGCTGAGAAAAGAACACAACACTGCAGACAACAGGTAAATGCCGTTAACACTGTTTTCCATGTTCGTGGCGTAATTTTTTTTACATGGCTTTTTAAAAATGCTGGGAAGCAGTGTTTCATATGCGTTTGGCCAATCAGTGTACACTTACATCACTGGTAATTCCTAAAGTACTGCTTTAGACCCTACTCTGAAGTAGGAAATAATTTAGTTCACCCAAATGGAGAACTAAATACGTTCCTAGTTCCTGCGGTGCGAACATGCCAAAAAGCGGGTACTTCCGCCAATAGTTCTAGGAACTATGAAAAGGTTCCTCCGGTGCAAAAGCCCCTAATGTGAGTGAACAGTATTGAAAGGGAACCGAGGTTCTGTTAGCAACTGGAACATTGATGAGGACACTTCCCAAATGGCTTAAAAAACATACTAAACTATGTTTTTTGAAAATCTAAAAATGCAGAAAGTTTTGCGTGAGGGGTAGGTTTAGGTGTAGGGTTAGGGTATGGGCATGAAAAAATACAGTTTGGACAGTAGAAAAACCATTAGACCTATTTAATGAACCAATAAAACATGCAAACCCAACATGCACGTTAGTGTGTGTGACTCTATAGGAGCAGGAATGAGGAACCTGCTTTACAGACTAGCAGACAAACCGGTTTTACACACGTGACTCAAACACAGAACCAGGAATCAGGAATCACCTGATTTCAGGGAAAGAGAAACTTAAGTGTAGTTGAGCTGCTGTGTGTTTGTGTCTCTGTATTCAAGCAGTAAAATGGCAGAAACCAGAATTTCAGTGGATCAGAAGGAGTTCTTGTGTGCCGTGTGTCTGGATCTCCTGAAGGATCCAGTGACAACTTCCTGTGGACACAGTTACTGTAAGAGCTGTATTACAGACTGCTGGGATCAGGAGGATCAGAAGAGAGTCTACAGCTGCCCTCAGTGCAGACAGACCTTCAGTCCAAGACCTGCTTTAGCTAGAAACACCATGCTGGCTGAAGTGGTGGAGAAACTGAAGAAGACCAAACTCTCTGCTGACTGTGACGCTGGAGCTGGAGATGTGCAGTGTGACGTCTGTACTGGAAGAAAATACAAAGCCGTCAAGTCCTGTCTGGTGTGTCTGAACTCTTACTGTCAGAATCACCTCGAACAACATGAGAGTTTGTTTAAAGGAAAGAGACACAATTTGACTGATGCCACTGGACGACTGCAGGAGATGATCTGCCAGAAACATGAGAAGCTCCTCGAGGTTTTCTGTCGCACTGACCAGAAATGTATATGTATGATGTGTACTATTATTGAACATAAAAACCACGACATTGTGTCAGCTGCAGAACAGAGGACAGAGAAACAGGTATTTAAAACTAGCGATCAAGTTAATACTCAGCGTAGTGATCCAATAGTCACAGCTGAAATACACAGACCACAGAAAGACTGTCAGTGTGAAGCTCTGTGTCAGTTTCACTTTTATAATACTTTCGCCTGCAGTGTGAAACAGGCCTTAATCTTCATGATAATTCATGTATAGGGGACTTGAGCAGATCCTGCTGTGACAGAGACTCACAGAGAAACAGTTCATGAGTGTCTTATTATATAATCATCAGTCAGACTCTCATCTGATCATCTTCTTCTGAATGAGACGCCGCTTACAAATGACTTTCATCTCTGGGTCTCTAACTGCTCTAAAGTTATAAATAATGGTCAATCTAATCTTAGCCTTTGAGCTGCTTTTCCTGAGCAAATCTACTCAACCCTACAAAGTGAAGTGTGGAGCTGATGAGTTTAATTTCTGTTTTCTGTAGCGTTTCCAGTCTCTCTCAGCTCCTCCTGAATCTACAGATGTAAATGACGATCTCTTCAGTTCTCTCATCTCTTCTGATGCTCTGAGAGAATCTGTTCATCAGCTGAGAGACAAACTGGAGGATTTCTGCAAAGAGGAGCTCAAGAAGATCTCAGACAGAGGTAAAGTCCTGGAGATTCATCTGCTCTCAGAAACCAGTCCATCATCATCTCATATCATGGAGAACATCATATTAGAAATGTCTTAGGAATGGATGCAGGATCATGAGAATCACACTGTTCATGTCTGTTGATTTCCACAGTCACATTCACCAACATTGTTCCCAGAACCAGGAACGACTTCCTACAATGTAAGTCAGTAAGAAAACAAGCAGAAAAACTCACTGAGTGTGTTCATGTTCTTCCTGTAGAAGCTGAAAGAAGAGTTTTATAACTGATGATGTAAATGATGATTTGCACAGGATAGCTGGTCATCTGGGGCCAGATTCATGAAAATCTTCTTAAGATAAAGAAAGAAAAAGACATTTTTTTCAAGACGTTTCCAACTCTGACTTTGGACCAATTCTGTAGAATGGCCCATACACAAATATAACACACACATATACAGTATATACATGTTCATTCACATACATATATATGCATAGTTTGCATAATAGGACTAGGTGTTATGTTCCCAATATTCAGCACCATTTAGCCGCACCATAGAACATCTTCCCTTCAGTGTGAACAGAACACAGCGAGACGCAGCAATTGTTTTTGGTTCAGCAAGAATCCAGGATCATGGCCTAATCCAATAATGTCCGTGGTACTTGCCTCAATACCCAATAATCAGTCGTGAATTTACAATTGCTTTATGCGTGACTGGGAACAATAAGAAAACAACAATAAAATAAATAAATAAAAAAGGAGGGGAAAAATGACAACAGCAAATATTAAAATTGGATCCATTTGCTTTATGTATGTCAGCACTGGCTGCCAAAAAGAGAAAAAAGTTTGACTACAGCCCTTAGTGGAGTACCGAATCTTCCCTAGTGCAAGATGATACATAAGATCCCTAATCCAGTGACTAAAAGTAGGTGGAGATTTGTCCTTCCATTTATGCAATACAAGACGTCTAGCTATTAAAGTTGAAAAAGAAATCATATTTTTTGTATTATTATCTAAACAGAGTTTTGTTGTTAAACCAAATATTGCAAGAATAGGAGAAGGATTAATAGATAAATACAGAACTCCTGAAAGAAAATTAAATATTAATTACCAGAAATTAACAAGCTTAGAGCAGGACTGAACAGTCACTTTTAAAAAACCTGTCTCAAGATGCAGTGATCCGTTTCGTTCATTTGTGTGCTGTGTTTTTGTGCTCGCTCCAGAGTGAATGAGTCCTGTACATGTGTGCGCTGCTACAGTAAATGCATCTTGTGTATGCCGCGTTTATATGCGCTGAATACTGCCAAGATTATGTTGTATTTATAGACTAAAATTAGAAATGAGCTCCCTGTTTAGGGAAAAAAGGACTATACTGTCAAATAAAAATGAAGAAAATAAGAACAAATAATCTAACTACAAGCAACAGCACACATAAATACAATAGAGCAAAGATACAAATAAAATAAACAGTGCTTTTCAGGTTTTTTAGGTAGGTCCAACATTACTGTTTACGTACTGAAATTGAATAAAGTAATCAAATGTAAAATAAAATTGCATATTTGACTGCATAAATTAAAGATTAATCCTTATTATTGTTACAAATGCAATCAAGAGCAGTAAGTGATTTCCTTGTCTTTTGTTGTTTGATTAACATTAAGAAAGTGCTGTCGCTTTAAGACAATGCATGGATCCAGTACACTGATACTGTACGTTCAACCGACTCTGTCTGCTAGAATACTCACCAAGACAGGCCTTTTGACATAATTTTTGTGTGAATTTGTCCTTTTAAGCACAACTTGAAAACAAACTCAATATTTGCGTTTGAGCACGCACACATGAGCGCGCACACAAATCTTCTCATTCGCGTCTTCTTGCCCTTGAATATTTAAACTGGCAAGGCTTAAATTAGTTTAGTTTAACACAGATAGCAACGTGTGCTGTTCGGGTCTCACACTATCAACACCCGGGTGATGACGGCATAAATGACTGCTTATTTTCCAGCATACCGCACTCGCTAAAAAGTTTACAAAGAGAGACAGGTTTGTCCACGTTTCTTTTCTTTTTAGTTCATCGATGTTGTTGTAATCTATTGGGAAGCCAGAATGCATATCCGTTGACAGAAACATACATTAGCTGAACTCTGTTTTACATGTTGTTATTTGTAATAAACCATTTTACAGATGCGTTTTCAGATTTAAAGGGGTCATATGACGTTGCTAAAAAGAACATTATGAAGAGCTTGTAACACTCCAAAGAGAAAGGAACAATTGAAATCGCATCATATGACCCCTTTAAGTTGAACCGCGGTGCAAGTGCGTGCTGAACCGTGGGTGGAGAAAGGTACGGTTCGATTTTTTTACTGAGAACTGTCACACCCCTAGTAGCTATAACTTTTAATTATAGAGAAGAACAATTTTAAGAAAAAAATAAGAACATTCTTAAGAAAAAAGTGAAGAATATTTTGTATTCCCAAAAATTTCTTAAGTTAGAAACTAAGAAGAAAATGGGCTTTTGTGAATTTGGTCATCTGTACTGAGACACTGATGATACACTGAACACGAAGAGTTCAGCTACATGAAAAGATCAAACAGATTCATAATTCCTGATTCTGATGTGTTTTATCTCCATCAGACCGCATTCACTCAGACGCTCTATCCTGGGTTTTGGGTTTATCTTAGTGGATCATCAGTGAAACTGTGTTAATGAATCAGTAGACTGACGAGATACTCTACCCATAATGCTTTGAGCTGCATGATGAATCAGGAACAGTGAGATGTTATAGAGTCTCTTCTTTTCTCTTCATGACATTAATACTGCAGCTGAACTTCTGTCAGTGAAATAACACGTCAGAATAAATGTGTGTAATAAATCCTCATGTAAGATTTACAGATTATTTTCTCAAATGCATAGCAAGTAATTATGTAAAGCATGCACAAAGAAAAAATAAAAATACAAACTTTTTTGTCAAATTTGTTGCTTTTTTATATACTAAACTTTTTTTTAATTTTCTTCTTTTTTTGCCATTTTCTCAATGCTTCAGCCTGCTGTTCATACCATTTATGAAGTTTTTAAACTTCAGAACTAAAATAATGTTTTGATAATAAAGTAGGAGTTATATGCATATGTTTCTCTCTCTCTCTCTTCAGAGGAAGTGTGCAATTACAGCTCTCGCTCTTGGCAAACATTAACCACCTCTGAAGAATAAAACAGTGTGTGAGTCAAACGTTGACTTCCTGTTTGCTCTCATACACACACTTCAGTTCCCGATGGCTCGTGTAAAGTCTTGGCGGAGGCCCGATCGGGGATTCGCTCGTTCTTCCAGGTCCTGAACTTTCCTGAGGAACCTTTCCAAAGTCATCAGAAACTTTGAAAAACCAGCCCAGGAAATGCAAACGAGGTTCTGATGTAGTTTCTACGCTCTATCCATTACACACACACACACACACACACAAAGGAGTTTAATATTACAAATGCATCATGGGACATTTGTTGCAGCCACATCCTGTATTAGCAGAGGAAATGGTCTGGTAATGGTTTACAAATGTTCCTCTCTCTCTGTCTGTTGTTCAGGTGTAATTATTCTCAGACGGACTGTGTGTTTCAGAGTCACCGTGAATCAGAGTCAGAATCAGAATCAGAAGAGCTTTATTACCAAGTATGTTTACACACACAAGGAATTTGACTTGACGACAGGAGCTTCCAGTGTAGAAGAAAGTACAAACATAGTGCAGACATACATGATAGTGCAGACATACATAGGAATAACACAGTAGGGATGTAATATAACACTAATATAATAAAAAAAAGAAAAATTGAATAATGTACTATATACAGAAATAGAGCAGACTCGTCTCCATCCTTGATGAGACCGATGACTGTAGTGTCGTCTGCGAACTTCAGGAGCTTGACAGAGGGGTCTTTAGAGGTGCAGTCATTCGTGTAGAGAGAGAAGAGCAGTGGGGAGAGTACACATCCCTGGGCAGCGCCAGTGCTGATGGTGATAGTCCTGGATGTGAATCCAGAGCCGTAATGGATGTTTATCATCGCTTTCCTGTTCCTGTTCAGTCCAAAACACAAACATGAGCAAACAAACACACACAACACAATCTCACACACACAAAATAGCCATTGCTTGCTCTGACCGGTTCACTGATTTAACAGGATAAAAGAAACTATCAAACATTTGGAGCCTTGAGAACTAGTCTAACTAGTAGTTTGCCAAGAGATAACCAGCCTTCCTTTTTTAGGGTCAAATAGACGAATCTACATTTTTTTATGTAATGAAAGACTAGTCTAAGTAGTTTATGCAACCGGCCGAGTGCACAAAGTGATAGTCTCTAAATTGCATAAAGGACACATTAACCCTATAAATCCTGCTGTATCATATTTAATACATGAATTTCCTCTAAATGATCAAACTCTGCTGTTAAACCTGTTTCTCACTCGATCTACTGCATGTCTTCTGTCTCTGATTGAGAGTTTAGAGTGTTTTATCCAGCCGAAGCTCTTTTAGTGTAATTGTAGAAATGTCCAGCTTCAGCTGGAGCTTCTCGTGTCAAATCTTGACTGATTTTGATCAAG